CGCTGTTGGTCGGCTCCAGCACCCTGTTCTTCGTGTTCACGTGAGTCCGCCGCGTCGCCGGGGGCGCAGGGGCCACAGCCCGGCCAGAGGGGTAGGGACCAGGGGCAGGGACCGGGTCCAGAGGGCTGGGCAGGACAGGGCTGGCACCAGGGGTTTGGTCAGCGTGAGCCCGCACCCTGGGCTGAGGCTGAGGCCGTGAAGGTGCCTGTCCTGGGCACCAGGAAAAGGTGAGTCCTGTGTGCGGGGACACGCGTGCCCCGTGGGCACCTAATGAGTGTGCCAGGCAGGCCCTGGGTGTGAGCCGCTGGGCCTGGGCAGGGGAGTGTGTGCAGTGGCTGCCCAGGGTGTGGCTGCAGCCCTCCCCTCCCCACAGGCTTCAGGAGGGACGTGGGCTGCCCAGAGCCACCAGCCCTTCCTGCGAGGAGCTGAGGATGTGTTCGGCCCCCTCTCCTGGCTGTCGGGCCAGGGGCCAGAGCCGAGTTGTTCCTGAGTAGGTGTGGTCTAGCCCATCTGCCACGTGCCTGCCCCACGGCCCCCAGTGACCCTGGCGTGGCAGCACCCTCCTCCCTTCCTTGACCTTCATAGGAAAGCCTAGTGATCGCAGCTGGAGGGCCCAGGCCAGGCCACACCCAGGGACACTGGCCATGGCGGGCTTTGGAACCCTTGAGGCAGAAGGCGGGCAGGGCTCTGGGCCTTTGCAGCTTTAGACACCGGCTGGCTCACAGATCGGAGTGGTGCTGGCGATGCAGCTCCCTCCCCATGGTCATGCCCCCCCCCCCAGGTCTCCTTCTGGCACAGGGAGGGACTGGGGGCTCCAGACTTCAGCCATGGGGGTCTGTGACCACCCCCTCCACAGGTCCCAGGCTTAGTTAGTCACAGCTCTGGTGACCAAAGCAACCTGGGGACCTGAAGCCAGTGGGACCTCTGTTCAGAGGCAGGTCAGCCCCCGGGAGAGAGTGAATCGGAGGCAGGGTGGGCAGGGGCCGGCATGGCCCCCGTTCACATTAGCCAGAGCGAGCGCGTTCGCTGGGTGGGCACTGGGTGTCTGTGGAGGCGGGAGAGCCGTCTACCTGGACTCCGGAGCTGGGTAGGTGCCACCGGCTGCCAAGAGCGTGTTTAAAAAAGGCCTGTGTGGACGGGCTTATTTCTGGCTTTGGTGAGCAGGCGGATTCTTGTCACTCAGAAGCTGCTGACTGTGGGGCAGAGAGGAGAGGGGCAGGTGGGCAGCAGACACCGGAAGAGGGGGGACGAGTCCTGCTGGGTCTCCTGCAGGGGTGGGGCCTAGCGCAGTCCTGGCTCTGGGGTCGGGGTGAAGGGTTTGAGGAGGGTCTCTGCGTGACCATCTCAGTTTCTCATTTCCTAAGTGCAATTTAGCATTTTTTTCCTCCCAACTTTCAAAGTAATATGTGTTCTCTATTGAGAACTTGGGAAATGCAGAAAAAAAAAGACCATTTAAAAAGAAATTGAAATTGACCTCACCTCAGAGAGCCATTGCCTCTTTCTGTAGGCTCACCTGGCCTTGTGTAGAGCGCTCGTCATGAGGTTGTGATTTCAGAGGGCTCTTACTCCCTGTCCTGTGAACTTGACCCACCCCCAAGCCGTAGGCTCCCAACCTGCTGCCCCCTCTGCACCCTGCCCCGTGCCAGGTCTTCGTCGTTCTCACAGATGGGGGTCTGGATTCAGGGACATCGTGCTGGGAGGTGCAGGGTTCCTTTGGGGTACCACAGGTGGTGCCTGCATCCTGCCCTGTGTATGGCTGTGTGTCTGTGGCAGGATGGGGACCCAGGGGCACTAGTTGGGGTCCACGTGGAGTGACCATCCAGCGAAGGGAACCTTGCTCATCCCCAGGACAGGGCTCCCCTGTAGCCCGACCCCGAGGCCACATTGTTTGGATCGAAGGAACCCTGGCCCGCCCCTGCCCTGGTAGCTGGGTTCCTGAGAAGGGGCTCTGTGGGGCAGGCCCGGCCCGTTAATGCTGGCACAATATGCCAGTTCTGGGCATGCAGGGGTCCAGGCGGTCCCCTTCTCAGGACTGGCCTTTCATCACCCCAGTACCCATGCTTCTGCCCTGTTTCTGCCCCAGGCCTGCCCCAGACTCAGACACGTGCAGGGAGGGAGCAGCTCTCCTGTGCCCTCTCCCCACCCTCAAGCCCGAGGGTTGTCTTCTCTGCCTTTGATCCTTGGACTTCCCTGGATGCTGAGGGCCCCAGGCCCCGCTCTGCACTCAGTAAACATGAGATGCCCCTCAAGGGCAGGTCCACACAGGCAGCAGCTCCTGGTGTCATGCGAGGTGAGGAACCAGCGCCTGGAGGACCAAGGCCAGCTCATTGAGGGGGCTGGGACCATGTTGCTAGGACAGTCTGTGGCCTGGAAAATATGCCAGGAGGTTGGAGTATCCCTCCTCTGAGAATGGGGAGCACATCACAGGGCAGGTTCCCAGAGGCCCTTCTCTTCCAGGAAGCCTTCCTAGATTCCTGGTGCAGTTGTGTCCCCCTGCGCCCCAGAAGCTCTTCACACTGGCTCAGTGCCAGGCCGGGACAGGTGTGAGGGTGTGTGGGAGGGTCCGGGCTTTTGCCCCTGCCCCTTCCTCCTCCCAGAGCCACTTTGCAGAACGACGGGGACCCTGTGAAGATCAGAGAGCTGGGCTGCTTGGCAGAATACCAATGCCTGGGGCTGGGCCGGGCCATCATGCCTATGTCTGGGGCCAGTGGGTTGACTTCTGGGATGTCGGGGCTGGTTCCCAGGGTGGGCCTGAGCCCTCCCCATGCTCAGAGGCCCAGACAGGCAGCAAGGCCCGGCCTAGGACAGTGGGAGGGCCAGCCCAGTACCAGGCCAGACCATGGTGGGTCCTGGTGGACAGAGCTGCTGGCAGGGGCTGCATGGGGAGGGGGACTTGGTGTGAGCCCCTTGCCAGGACTTGCCGCATGTGGCCTGGGGTATCCCTGGCCCGCCGAGCCTCAGTTTCCCTCTCTGTAGGGATTAGGTGGGTGGGTGCAGCTGGCCAGAGGCCTCTCTGGCCTGATCAGGGCAGAGTGGCCACAGACCCTCTGGTGCTGGGTATCATCCATGTGCGTGAACACAGACTGTTAATGACGAACCCAGTTTAAATGAAAATGTCTGAGTTAAAAAATTTCAGTCCACATTTAACTTTGGTGAGCATGTTGCCCCTGCATAACCTCCCACGCCCTTGGGTGGTGTCTCCCTGTTGGCCCTGGCAGGACCTGGGGCCTCGACATCGGGGGGAGCTCATAGCAGTGGTGTGTGGCCCTGGCGCTGGGGAGGCAGGGGCTGGTCAGAGAGGAGGGCTCAGAGCTTCGACTCGTTCGCCCCAGCCCTGGCCTCACTCTGGCCCCAAGCTTAGCTGTAGGCAGCAGGGAGTGGCCAGCCCCTGCCCAGCAGGGCGAGCCTATAGTGTACCATCCCCTGGGTGGGCATGGGGTTACTTCCCTGTGGACAGAGTGGCCCTTCTGGAGCCTAGGACAGACTCAAGGTGGGCTGAGCAGTGCTGCCTGTCGGGTCCTGCCCAGAGCGTGTGTGTCCTCACACATCCGTGTGCTTACCTGGTCACAGAGCGAAGGGACGCCCAGAGAGGTGGAAGGGCAGGGAGAGGCAGCCCAGCCCGGGTTGGATGGGGCTGGGGTCAGAGGGAGGAGAAACGTGTGTTCACAAGTGCACACGTCTGTGTTTATGCAGGTGTGCCTATGTGGTCATGTATGTGAATCCATGCAGGTGTGCCAGTGTGTGCACAAGCGCGCACATCTGTATGTTTGTGCATCACGTTGAACACATGTTCACGTGTGTTCACGGATGCATGCCTTTTATGTACAATTATGTGTGGACATGTGTCTCTGTGCATGCCTGTTCAGTGTGCACTTATGTACACACATGTATGGAGCATGTTTATGTGTCTCTGTGTGTTCTGAGCACACGTGCATGCACCTGTCCCTGCATGTTCACATGTGTACATGCATATGTATGTGTTTGCATGGGCTCTTTCATCTTTCCCCCCTTAGCCCACATGTTTCCCGAGGTGGCTGAGTTCCAGGCCTTGGCAGCCTTGGCCAGTGAGCTATACCCCTTAAGCGTGAGCCCAGCCTGAGCTCCCCTTAAGACATTTTCCTGGTGGGTGAAGGCCACCTGGGAGAAGACGGGGGTGGGGAGACGGGGGACAGGATCGCATGGGAGTGCCTAATCTTTGGGTCTGAATCAGTTTGTGGGGATAGAGATGGGAGGCAGAGTGGGCAGTGGCTCAGGTCCCAGTCAGAGGACCTGCACCCCTCCCCAGCCTACCCAACACCAACTAAGGTCTGTACCCTCCTGGGTACGTGCGGCCCAGGCAGTGGGTAGGTGCTACCCACAGTGGACGGAGACCGCCCAGCACCTCAGTGTAAGCGTTGGCCCATCACAGTGCAAATTTCCAAACCTGGCCCCAATGCTGCCCAGCTACACCCCAGTCTTAGGCATCTAATCAGGGCCACTGTCCAGCCCATGCGGCCTGGGTGTTCATCAGGCTCAAGGAGGACAAAGCAGCACAGGCTGCCCAGGTCAGTGGGAGCTCTGGTCAGCATAGGGGTGGGGGCTGCCCTGGGGGTTCAGCCTATGTAATGGCTTGAATCCCAGCTCTGACGCAGACTTGCCCCAAGGCCTTGAGCATGTGTCAAGCCCTCCGATACCTGCTCCTTATCCATAAAATGGGAAGAGAAGCACCCCAAACCCCCTACAGCTGGAGGATGGATTGTGTGGTCCACTGTGCAGGGCAGGTAGGCGGTGGTCTTGTGTATTCATCAGCCAAACCTGGACACGGTGGTGGGCGGGGCTCACACTCTAGGTCCCCCCCCCCCCCCCCC